TCAAACCAGTCATGGCTGTGATCACCCTGTTCTTGGTTGGTATGGGCAAATACGAGGACGGAAACTGGAGGTATGCAAGCTAGCATGATCGCCAATAATCTGGATTTTGCTTAACTATTTGTGACAAAGCAGTACAGTTCTGGTTTTGTGCGCAAACTATAAGGACCAAAATGTGCCCATAAAAAATAGAAAGCGTTGGCTCAAAATGTTGTAAAGACACGAATGATTCTGGTCTAAGGACACTTCCTTCAGTTGCTAATTTTCATTTTTTTCAGTGCGGATCAAGGTTATCTGTACATCACCCTTGTGTACAACGTTTCGATTTCTCTTGCTCTCTACGGACTATTTCTTTTCTACACTGCGACCAAAGAGCTTTTGAGTCCCTACAGCCCAGTATTGAAGTTCTTAACGGTTAAGAGCGTCATCTTCTTGTCATTTTGGCAAGGTAAGTCTCAAGTCTTTCACACTAGATATTTTGTACTCACACATTTTCGGTGAAAAACGTTCTTTTGTAGGTTTGCTCATTGCTATTCTCGGAGCCACATCTGCCATTGATCCAGTTGTGGATTCTAATGGAAATGTCGTTATCAACAAAGGTAAAAGTTTCTTTTCTTGAGTGCGTGCTCGTCATATTCGTTTCTCGTTCAAGGGACCGTTGCTGCGGGTTATCAAAATTTCTTGATCTGCATCGAGATGTTCTTCGCGGCAATCGCTCTCAAATTCGCATTCGGTGTTTCCGCGTATGCAGACGCGCATTCAGGTAAAACAAATGTTCAAGATCCTTTGCTTTTTTCACGTGTTAAAATACTGAAAATTGAAGGAATCGCTTTCTTCCACAGAGAAGATTCTGGTGGTTAGTGAACTTTGCATGAGAATTCTCCCCTCGGATTTGGGCTAATTTTTTGTTGAGAAATGATTGAAAAGCGGAACGTTTGAGAAGTCAGACATTCGTATTTTTCAGTCAGCCATTCGAATGATGGGCGTCCGGTCACGCTGCAGTCCATCAGTTCATCTTTGAAGGAGACTATGAATCCAAAAGATATCATGCAGGATGCTATACATAATTTCCATCCTCAATACCAGCAGTACACCCAGGTAGGTACCAAGTCGTTTTTTGGTATTTAACACTAAGTAAGTAAGGCTTTGTAGCGTTTTACTAAAATAAGTAGTGATTTGCCGCAAGTTTCGAGCACATTTGCAGCAGAGTGCGTGACCCGCACCACCGAAAACGAAGGTTTCGAAAATTTTTCGAAGCCAGGAACATAGTTCTCTCGAGTATGTGCCTGAGATAATCATTTCGACAGTATGCTCTCAATGAATAGCCTGTTAGCAGATTCTACTTTTCCTTTTTGGGTATTTTCTCCGGTGTTTTTGTGACTGTCAATTTTTGCCTTTGTACGGCTCGGTAGTTAGAGTCAGTGATATCTGACAAATGTATATATCACCAGCATATTGTGCTCAATATCGTATACCTGTCGGGTAATATGAAGTTTTCTTCCCATTGTGCAAAAATGCTGGTATCCTTTCACTTGATATCCTTTTTAAGCTCAGTCCTCAACGTTAATCGATTTCTTTCAGCATTCCAACCCGCAGCGCTCGGTCAGTGGTAACCTGCAATCAGGTTTTTAGTTTGTATCCTTACTTTTGTTCCATTTGCTTATATAGGTCCTACTACGGGCAAGAGTCTAGTCGTTTTGTCTGCATGCTTTGCTTTGTCTGCTGTGTTAGAGCTTTTGCTGTGTTGTAGTACTATGAAAATGATGACCAAGCCAAAGTATCATACCTATGTTGTTCGTGGTTAGTGTTTGACGGCTTAAGGGTCAGTCAAGCAGCAGCAAGATGCAGGACGTCAACGAGTCGAGCAGCGCTGGTCCCGAGGAGACGACCACGTTCCAGTCAGACGCTCAACGAACGACTATGGATCAGTGGCCCTCCATGCCGCATCAGCGATCCGGCTACAATCCACTGCTTTGAATGATCAACCCCTTCTTGACCTCTAGTCTTTGCAATCAATTTTTGGTGCGTTTTCCATCCCTTGCATGTTTCTTCCTTTTCGAGTGACGATCTGAATTGTGGTAGTGAATTATACCGGAGACACTTTACGAGATATTGCCTCGTGTGCCCAGAAGAATTTGTTGAAGCTCAGTTTTCATGAGTTTTTGAGTTGCTCTCTTTGCTGGCGATATCTCGTGAGTTTGCCGTAATTTAAATACAGTCTCCAACCG